CTGGGCCCAAACTGACAGATCTCTCCATAAAAGTAATTCCAAGTTCTTTCACCAGAGTTAGGCAAAACAGCAGGACCCAGGCTGGGGATTTAGCTCAGTGGTTTTGCCGCCTGCTGCACAAGTGCAAGGACCCAAGTTCAATCCTCGGTACCAAAAAAAAAAAAAAAGCAGGACCCATGGCCCCTTGGGAGCGATCCTTGTTTCCTCTCGAGACCTGACCCTTGTGGTGACTCTAGCCTGATTCTCCCTCTGTGCAAACGCAGGACACTGAAACTTATTTCCACGCCACAAAGACCACCACTGAAGGAACAGCCACCCCCAACAAACAGCTTTCGCACATTTACCTCATACCTGCATTGTGTTCCAGGTTCTTAACACACACTGGTGAATTAAACAAAGATGGTCTATGCCCGAGGAGTCCAGCCAGGCAATTAACATGAAAATTAATAAATATATCACTGCAAATCATGAGAAATGCTATTGAGAGAGTCAGTCGGGCACAGTAACAGGGAGTAAGGATGGGACCGTGTGTCTGATTTAGATGCGGAGCTCAGGAAAGGCTGCTAAGGAGGTGGCATTTAAGGGATTACTTGTGGGATTTTGGTGGCAGTTGATCTTGAGGGTCTCATTTTAGTACTCAACTAAGAGTTCTCTTAACAGAAGGCACCAGGAAAGGCTATCTCAGCCGGCAGTGCAGTGAAAAGCGTTCTAGAAGGCAGGGGCTAAACACCTCTTTTCCAGGTAAGTCTCCCACTGTGGTCGAATGTGCTTCTCTTCCCTGTCTGCCCCACTGCCAGCATGCACTGTCCCCTGTCACAGGCTTTTCCCGCACGCTTGTTGTCCTTCACACTTCCTGTCCCAAGATGCTGTCTTCACTGTGAGAACACTGGCCTCCCCAGCACAGCCCAGAGAAGCCCATCCTTGACTCCCATCTTTGACAGCTGTTTTCCTCAGAGACCCCCACAATCCTGCCTTTGAATCTCTGGAAGCCAAGTAACTGTGAACTACAGCAGATCAAACTCACATTCCTGCAGGGCCAACAGGCTAATTACAGAGTCCGCTCTCTATAAATCTTTATCTCCCAGTTGTTTTCCTAAATTAGCATTAGCCAAGTGGTATCAGGCCATCTACCCTCTGAGTGAAGGCCTTGGTCCTCAACACTATTGTGAAACAGCCTAGACATCAGGGCTGCTTAAACAGAGCTGAGTTTGAATCTTCGCTCCCCCCAGCCCAGCTCTGTGCCTTGGGCGAGTCTGAGCCTCCTCTGAGCATGACACTCCTCAGGTGCAAGATGAGGAGGAGGATAACACCTACTCTGAAGAGTTGGTGCAAGAATTAGCCAAGAGAAACACTAGGTGGATGGAATGTAGCAGGTCCACGACACATGGGAGTCTTTGTTTTATATCAAGCTATACAATAATCTGAGCAGAATACTGAGGATGCATTTTATGAATGTGATTAATTACTCTGTTAAGAATGGTGGGGCCGGGGATTTAGCTCAGTGGTTCCATTGCCTGCCTCGCAAGCGCAAGGATCCGAGTTCGATCCCCGGTACCAAAAAAAAAAAAAAGGAATGGTGACCATGCCAGATGTGGTGGCGCACACCTGTGATCCCAGCACTCTGGAGGCTGAGGCAGGAGAATCATGAGTTCAAGGCCAGCCTGGCCTTCCTAGAAAGTTCAGATCCAGGCTGGGCTATGATATAGTGAGTCCCTGTCTCAAACAAGACAAAATAAAAGAATGCCCATGTGGTTGTGAGTTTCAAGGCTGTAGCTGTCAAGGTAGGTAGAACCTTGAATAGTTGGAATTTCAGTCTAATCTCCAAGGGTCAGCCAGTTCTGATTTATGAAAAGATCACCGCAGTATTCTTAGAAATGTACTGGATGGGACACGAGTGCAAGTGAGAAGACCCCTGCGCAGAGGTCATTGCCGAGTCCAGGACAGAAGAGGTGGCTGGAACCAGGCTGAGGTAGCAGTGGAGACAGGGAAGATTTGGAATTGATTTGGGGTTAAGACTTGTGTGCGAGTTTGAAGGGGTTGGGGGAATAGAGAGCAATCAGATTTGAACCTACTAAACTTGGGAAGACGGTGGTGCTGTTTAATGAGATGAAGTTGTTGAAAGTATTGATTCCGTGTCTTTCTACCTCCTCTAGAGAGCCTGACACTATCAGGACCATCACTTAGGGTCTGCACAGCTAAACAAACACACCGAGTCTCAGCCCTGACCCCTCAGTCACCAGTTCATGATGTTCTTAGCAGGCTCCTTCCTGGACTGCAGCCTTCTCATAGGCAGTGTCCTCTACCAAGTGGATGTCCACGGGATGATCTAGGTCAGGAACCTGGGATCGCCTAAGTCTCTTTCTTTCTCTCACTAAAATGAAGAAAACACAGACAAGCATGGTAGCGCACACCTGTGATCCCAGCACTTAAGAGGCTGATGCACGAGGATCGCCCTGAGTTGGAGGCCAGCCTGGACTACATAGTGAGACCCTGTCTCACAAACAACTGCCAAAATATAAACAAATAAGGAACAAAGAAAGAAAGAAACAAAGAGAAAAAAGAAAATGTGTTGAGCATTTATGGTACCAGAGACTGTTTGAAGCACATGGATATCACCAATCTTCACCACTCCCTGTGCTTTAGCTACCAAGATTTTCCCCCTTGTACTGATGTTGAGACTGAAGCCGACAAGTTAAGTAACCTGGCCCCAAGTCACACCCCTAGGAAGTGCAGTGCAGTCTGAGCCATGGCCTATGAGTGAACAACTACCTCAGTCCATCTTGGCTGCTATAACAAAATATCACAGAGAGAGTAATCTAGAAATAACAAATTTATGACTCACAGTTCTAGAGGCTGGGAAGTCCAAGTTCAAGGCACCAGCAGATTTGGTGTCTGGTGAAGTCTCCCTGTCTGCTTCCAAGATGGCACCTGTGGCTGCATCTTCACTTGGCAGAAGGCGGAAGGGCAAGAGGGCTGGGGTGCTCCCTTCAACCTTTGTCTTTGCTTTTTTTGTTTGTTTTCTGCAGTGCTGGGGATCAAACCTAGGGCCTCCCACATGCTAAGCAAGCGCTCTGCCACTGACCTGCATACCCAACCCTTCAACCTCCTTTACAAGGTTACTAATCCCATTCATGAAGAGTTTCATAATTTAATCGCTCCCCAAGGCTGCACCTCTTAATACTGTCGCACTGGCAATTATGTTTCCACATATGAATCTCAGGGGACACATCCAGACCACAGCAACCTCAGGCTAACTCACGGTGAAGTAATCCTCAAGTCCCATACACTCTTTCTCTCCAATTCTCCATCTCCACTGGCACCGCCCTAGGTTAGGCATTTTACCTTTCCTCATCCACAGTATTACTGCATCCTCCTAAGTTATCTCCCTGTTGCGATTTCGCCTGCTTCCTTCTAACCCTTACTCCCGTGACCGATCGAGCTGGAATTCGATGCCCATCAGATGGCACCACGCTTCCACTCCAAACCCTTTAGTGGGCACATGTGGTGGCGCATGCCTGTGATGCCAGTGCTTAGGAGGCAGAGGCAGCAGGATCGCAAGTTCAAGGTCAGCCTGGGCAATTTAATGAGACCCTGTCTCACAAAAAATAAAAAAGGCTGGGGATGTAGCTCAGAGGGTTCAAGCTCCAGCACTGGTGGGAAAAAGTCCTCTGATGGATTCTTGCTGCCTTGTGAGTTCAACCTCCGATTCCTGGGGCCCTTCAAGACCTGGTTCCAACCTCTGCGCGGCCTCAGCCTCCCCTGCTGCTGTTTCCAGAGAGCTCGGGGTTCCACGCACATCCAGGTCTGAGTCCTGGGCCTGGCTGGTCCCCTCGGCCCACGATGCCTCTTCCTCCTCTGCACAACCCCCCTGTGCTTGCACATACGCACGTGTACACGCACACATGTACACACGCGCACCAAACATTGCACACACAGAGTCAATTTGGTTGTCCCCACTGGTTCTTCAAGGCGTCCCCTAGTCGTCTCCTCTGCGAAGGAGCTGAAGCCCCTCCGCTTCCGCTTCCGGGGCGTTACCGGTCACACCTCTGACGGTGCGCACATTTTTTAATTGTAATTTTCTCCTTACAAACTGTCCCTCTTTGGGGACTCAAGAACTGTGAGGGAAGCAGCTTTTGTGATCTTGTTACTATTGTAGACCCACTGTCTGTACGTGTGCGTTAATATCTGTCAAATGAACAAATGAATGGCTTGTTTGGGGGGCGGGGGTTTGTTTTGTTTTTTGAGACAAGCTCTCGGTATATAGTCCAGCGTGGCCTTGAACTCACTATGGAGCCCAGGCTGGCCTCGAACTCGTAGCAATCCTCCTGCCTCAGCCTCCTGAGTGCTGGGATTACAGGCGTTTGCTGATTTTTGAAGTAGATTGTCATGTCTATAAAACATTTTGCCCTTACATTTGTCGGGCTTTTTTTTTTTTTTTGTACCGGTGATCGAACTCGGGTCCTTGCACTTGCGCAGCAGGCAGTGAAACCACTGAGCTAAATCCCCGGCCCTGTCAGGCTTATTTACCTGAGGATTTTTGCAGCAGTGAGGCTCTGGTATGAGAAAGAATATATTGTGGTTAAGAATGAAGACTCTAGTGGCTCGGTGTGGTGGCACATGCCTGTAATCCCAGCACTCAGGAAGCTGAGGCAGGAGGATCACTTCAAATTTGAGGCCAGCCTGGGAGAAGAAGGAAGAAGAGGAGGAAGAAAAGGGGAGGGAAAGGGGGAGGGGAGGAAGAGGAGGAAGAAAAAGAAAGAATGAAGACCCTAGAGCCATATAACCTGGGTTTATACTTGGCCCTGCCGTCTGCTAGCTGGGGACCTTTAAGAAATTGCATTAGGCAGGATATGGTGGCACCTGCCTATAATCCCAGCACTGGGGAGGCTGAGGCAGGAGGATCACCAAGGGTTCAAGACCAGCCTGAACTACATAGTTGAAACCCTGTCTCAAAAAACAAAAAAAGAAGAGAAGGAAGAGGAAGAAAAATCACCACTTCATTAAGCCTCAGTTTTCTTTATTGTACAGGACCTACCTCAGAGGGTTAATGTGAAGGCTAAGGAAAAGCACATGTGAAGCATTTGGTGACTGGCAAGGAGCTGGAAACCTGTGAGCTATTATTAGCAGCTATTTTTCTGACAGCTTCGTTTGACCCCATTGTGTCACCATTACTTTTTGAACCAAAAATCTGAAATGTGGTTCTTGAATGTGGGCACCTAATTCCAGCAGGTTTTACATTTACTGTCATCCTGGGTCACCCTGGATATGGGATTTTGGGAAAAATTGAACCAGATGGTGTCCAAAATGAGGAGTAGCCTTTTGCTTGCAAGTCTTGATTTATTCCTTAGAAACCAAAAGAAAGCATTGCCAACCAGTCAGCAAATTACCTGAGTTCTTCAAAATTCCCACACTGGGGACCCTGTTGTCCCTTGCATGTGGTAAAAAAGAAGTGACTGGCCAGGTGTGGTGGTGCACGCCTGTAATCCCAGCACTCCGGAGGCTGAGACAGGAGGATCCTGCAAGTGCGAGGCCTGGTCTATATAATAAGTTCAAGGCCAGGCTGCACTACAAAACAAGACTCTGTCTCAAAAAACCAAAGGGGACAAAAAAAGAAAGATAAAGCCCTAAGTGCGCATGTGTGCACACAGCTGCAAGAAAAACCTTCCTTTCCATCCTCATGCGTAGGGAGACGGCTGTCGTCTCCCTTTCAGACTTGAGTTTTCTACATCCAGAGTTAAGCAGCCTCTCATGGAGAATATAATTGCCTCAGCAGAGCCTTGAACTGTACGTCCCAGATTATAAATTGCAGGATTATGCTGCCAGTGCGTATGCCAGTGAAGCAAACGGGGAGTGACAGGAGAAAGAACGAGATGATTCCTTAAAAGGACTCGGAGACTCTTCATGTCGAGTGACTTTCTTGAGCATCTAGGAAATAACAGAACTTTAGGTCAAGGGTTGAGTCTTCCTGTCAGTGTGCGACCCTTAATAATGGTTTTACATGTGGTTGTCCTAGCAACACTAGCATCCCACCCATCTCACTGTGAGAGCCAGCGTTTCCAGTCCAAAGGAGATCAGTTTGGATAACAGGGCTTAACAAAAAAAGGGTTGATTTTATAATCCACACTGAGAGCAGTAAAAAGAGATTTTTTTTCCAAATGGGTTAACCAGAAAAACTTGGCTAATCAGTGTGTTTCCCATCCAGATGGGTGACAAGAAAGAATCATACTGAAAGGTGTGAGGGCCCACACCAGGTTCTGCTACCCAGTCCCTGCCCTCGCATTTTTTTGTTCATTCTTGTCTTTTTGTTTTTGCATAAAGCAAAAGATATTTCTTAAACTATGATAGAAAGTCACTCTTAATTTTTCTCTTAGATCTGTATCTCATTGTTCAGAAAGGATTTTCTGTATATTTATCCTAAGGGAGGAATGCAACAGTACAATTCAGGGAAAAAATGTCTACACATCTATCAAGATGGCTGACTGACTGAATGAGCCATCCTAAGTGCTAACAAGGATGGAGAACAACTAGAAGTCTCATGTACTGCTGGTGGGAATGCAGAATGGTACATCTGTGGAAAAACAGTTTGTCATTTTCTTATAAATTTAAACTTCCTCTTCCCACATGATCCCAGCAATCCCATTCTTAGAAATTTACCAAAGGGAATTGAAAATATATACACAACTTACATAAAACCTCTCCACAAATGTTATAGCAGCTTTTTCATAGAAGCATGAGACTGGAAACCATACAAACATTCATCAACTGGCAAACATTCTGTGGTCCATCCATACAGTGGAATACTATTTGGTAATAAAAAAGAAACAACCTAAAGCTGGGTATGGTGCGCATGCTTGTAATCCCAGCAGGAGGGAGGCTGAGGCAGGAGGATTGTGAGTTCAAGGCCAGCCTTTGTGACACAGCGGGACCTTGTTGCAAAACAAGCAAAAAAGAATCAGCCTACTAATCCACACATCAACATGGTGAATTGCTCAAAGCATTATGCTGAGTGAAAGAAACCAGAGTGAAAAGGCTGCCTATTGTTTGTCATTCTGGAAAAAGTAAAACTACAAGAACAGAAAACAGGGCTGTCAGGGGCTGGGGATATGAGGAGACGTTTGACTGTTATTGGGTCAGAGGGCATTCTTTGTGGGGATGGAAATATTCTGTATATTGATTGTGATGAAGTTTACATGACTTTGTGTTTGTGAAAATGCTTTTTATTTTTTGAAAAAAGGGGGTGAGAATTTTTGCCATATGTATTTATACATATATTTAAAATTATATTTCCCTGTATTTATTGTGTTTCTATGTATTTAAAACTATATTTCCCTGGCTTTTGAGTTGCAAAACCCTAGGCAATCAAGTCTAAGATAAAAAGACTCCAGGCAAGAGCAAAGTAGCTGGGAGGAAACGCCATAAAAGAAACCAGTGTCTCTCTTTCTCTCACTTGAATGGGATCCCTTAAATCAAAGAGATTAGGAGAGAATGACAAGGAGGAAATGATGAGAGATTAGTGACAAGAGCCTGAATCTAAAGGGACCCCATAAAGAGGATTAGAGTCCCTGTTTCCTGACTCCGGGGCTTATGACTGAGCCAGCCCTCACCCCGCCTACATCCAAGCCAGGCCTGGAGGACTTTGCTTGGGCAACAGGTGACAGATCACCCTTAACAGCCAGCTGAGGGATTCGTGTTTGTGTTCCAGACCAGCTCTCTGTCACCCCGTGTGGAGAAATCCGCCCCTGTGCTACTACATGAGGGACCCCAGTCCCCTACACCCCTGCCACTGCACTTAGGTTGAAAAGAACCACTTGAGGAGCGTGACTCCCACCTGGAGATGTAAAGATGCACCTGCCTTAGCTGCCTTTCCTGTCCTCGAGATTTCTCTCATTTACCTGTTTCCAGCAGAGCGGAGGTAAAGCTAAAGCAATCTTTTTTCTCCCCTGGGTAAGTTCAACAAATATCACCAGCTTCCTTTGGGGCTGAGGTTGAAAGGCATGCTCCTCCCCCTCCTTTTTTTTTTGTTGTTGTTGTTTTGAGACAAGGTCTCACAATGTAGTTCAGGCTGGCCTTGTGCTCACGATGTAGCTCAGGTTGGCCTCAAACTGGTGGGAATTCGCCTGCCTCAGCCTCCATGCTGGGATGACAGGCGTGTGCCACCACACCCAGCAAAAGTACTTCTTTTGATAGATGACCATCTTGACATTCACTCAGTTACTCCTTGATCAAATATTCATTAAGCTGTTGGTCTGGGCAGTTATATAAAAAAAAGTCTGTGTCCTTGCCCTCCATGGAGTCCTAGGGAAAGGCACCGAAAATGCAGCCTGATAAGGACCATTGCAGTGGCCTGGGTCAGGAGCTAGAGGGACCCAGAGGAAGAATGGCTATGGCAGCAAGGTCCCCCAGAAAGGGGGGCATGGAGGCACACACCTGTAATCCCAGAATTTACTGGGAGGCTGCGGCAGGAGGATTTCCTGAGTTCAAGGCCAGCCTGAACTACATAGTGAGTCACTATTAAAAAAAAAAAAAAAAAAAATATATATATATATATATATATATATATATATATATCATACTTTCTACACTTGATCTTAGCCAAAAAGCCGAGAAGTGATGTATCATACTTTCTTTTTTCTTTCTTTGCAATGTTAAGGATTGAACCTAGGGCCTTGGCCATGCTAGGCAACCACTCTACCACTAAGCGACACTCCAAGTCTTAGAACCAAATGGTAACTGCTGTGACAACTCTGACCTTTCTTCCCTGGGCAACGACCTACTTCCCCCTTGTTAAACAACCATGCCGGGAGATGACTGAGAAAACTCCCCGAGGAGAGAGGAGAGGGACGTTCTCTGTTTACCCCTGGCATAATTGCTGACTCATAAATACCTTCTGAAAGAAAGTATAAGTGATTATCTTTGGGGCTATTTAGCATTTGCCAAACTCCCTGAGGAAAAAATATATTTAGAAAACCATGCAAAGAAAGAGAAGAAAGAAAGAAAGAAAGAAAGAAAGAAAGAAAGAAAGAAAGAAAGAAAGAAAGAAAGAAAGAAAGAAAGAAAGAGAGGAAGAGAGGACAGGAACAGGAAGAGAAGGCCCAAGGGCCAGAGATTTAGCTCGGTGGCAGTGTGCTTGCCTTGCAAGTGCGAGGTCCTGAGTTCAATCCTCCGTACCACAAAAAAAGAAAGAAAGAAAGAGAAAAAGATAATAATCAAGTTAAAATCCCACTGGATGGGTTCAACAGTAAAATGGAGATGAAGAAAGGAATAGAAGGTGCAGTGACATGCACCTATAATTCTAGCACATAGGGAGACTGAGGCAGGAAAACCGAAAGTTTGAGTCCCACCTGGGAGACTTAGGGAGACTCCATCTTGAAATTAAAATTTTGTTTAAGATGGGCTGAGGCTGAGCATGGTGGTGCATGTCTATCATTCCAGCACTCAGGAGGCAGAGGCAGGATGATCACTGCAAGTTTGAGGCCAGCCTGGGCTACATGGTGAGCTCAAGTCCAGCCTGAACTATATAGTGAGACCTCATCTCAACAAACCAAAAAAAAAAGAGGGGGCTGAGGATGTAGCTCAGGGATAGAACTGGAGTTTGATCCCCAGCACCAAAAATAAAAAAAGATACTTAATACTCTTTATATTAATACTTCTCATTTATGCAGTATACATGCATGCATTTTTCCATTTTAAGTACATACATTCATGCCTTGCCCACACCGCTACTGAAGCAATAATAAATGACCCAGGATTTAGCTCAGTGGTTCCACTGCCTGTCCTGCGAATGCAAGGACCCGAGTTCGATCCCCGGTACCAAAAAAAAGCATTTCCTGAGCTTTAGGGTCTAAGCTTGGTCTGAGGACTTAGTGTGCACTTTCTTGCTCGGTCTTCCCAATAACCCACTGCCTTTCAATGCATGAATTGAGCCTCACAAAGTGACAGGCCCATCCGAGCTGAGGCCTGACTCCAGTGCTGGGTCTTCATCCCTGGCACATCCTGGGCATCCTCTGGCCCTGGCAGGAAGGATTTTTTATCTGCATTCCAGTGTTGGGCTCCTCCTGCCCAGACACACAGGCTTTTCAGGCAAGCCTCCCTCAGGCTCAAGGTGGGTCTCCCCAAGCAAGAGAAATCCAGGATGCTGTGGACACAACTAGTTCACATCAGTTATCTGAGTGCTAACTCTGGCCTCTTTTTCAGAGGACAGATGACCCATCTCCCTTGTTAAACAGAAATCCCCCCAGGCCCCAGGAGGTTGGCAGCTGTCCTTTCCCTCAGCATCCTCTCTCAGACGCCTGACATTCTCCCTGTAAACTATTTCTTGTATCTTACTGAGCTCTAAAATAAAATGAAATCTGAGCTATGGCTGTGTCTCACTGCCATGGAAACAACGTCAAGCCTGGATGCCTCCAGAAGCTGTGGGTCCTTCCGGCTGCCCGGGAACTGGACAAAGCTACAAGGTTGGGTTAAGCAGCTTGGGTAATAAATGCATCCTGTTCAACACAGGACTGTCGTCAGCGGATGCATAATCAACTTACAGTCTCCATTTTCCATAAGGTGCTGGCTTGGTACAGCACATAGCAGCCAAATGAATGATGCACCTCAGATCATTCTACTTTTGTGAGAGTACATTTTAAAGTCTATTCAGGTGGCTCCAAAAATATGGTAGGAAAAAAACCCATGGGCAGCAATAAATTTCAACAACATTCTGTAGAAGCGTTTTTGCTTCTGGGAATGGGAAACCAAACATTTCCCAAGAGACCCTATTATTAAAGCCATAAATAAAGCATCCCTGATTTGATGGCTTGGTTGCTTTGCCTGTGTGGCTTTGCTCTGGAGAAGTGGCCCAGAATTTGAGGCAGGCCATCCAGGGGAGGCTGGGGAGGTGGTCCTGATAGGTTTCTGCCCTCTCTCCTCCAGTATGGTGTCCGCACACCATGCCACAGTGCAAGGGTACTGAAGACTACCACAGATGGCTACCACAAGACCCAAGGGTGAGCCGTCCAGCTGGCCCCTCCCTGCTCATGCACACCCTCTTCCAGAAGTAAAAGCAGTGTGCCATTGAGACAACTCACCTGATTGCCTAGGGCAGTGACAGCGAACCTTTTAGAGCTTTCAATGATAACAAACAGCCCGCTGTGGCACATGTGCCATAGGTTCGCCAATACCGGCCTATGTGGCCTGGGTTTGAGTCCCAGTGCTGCTACTCAGCTACCCACTAACCAAGGTTGGTTCACTTCCAGGTGCCAGTCTCCTTGCAGGAGTGGAGTGAGAGGGATAAATAGATCCTCCGTGCTGGGAGAACATATCCTAGGGAGTTCCGATCACTCCCAGAAAGACAAGCGCCACTCAAAAAGGCCTATTTGTACTGGGCACTCTGGGGGTCCTATCTGTCCTCACAGGAATTTCCGTTGTTGCTGCTATCTGACTTACACATGACAGAAACTAGTCCTGCTAACTGCAGTGACTTTCTTTCTTTTTTTTTTTTTATTTTGGTACTGGGGATCAAACTGCCGAAAGGCAGGCGGCACCACCAATGAGCTAAATCCCCAGCCCTGCAGAAACTTTCTGAAAGTGATGAACGTAGAACCAAGCAGTCAGACTTAAAATCCCCATCTGTCCAACTACAAAGCCAATGTGCTTTCCACTTGACTCTGGTAGTTTCTGAGCTCATGAGCATGGGATAAATCATTATTTTACTTCAAAGTAAATATAACTCAATAGTTTTAGGGTTCAGATAATTTGCTAATGCCTGGGCAACTTCATCTTCTCTAGCTATTCTGCCTCTTATTAGAATGATCCTACATCCCTTTGGAATGAGAAATATCTTCGTGAGACAGAACTATTAATTCTCGGTTTTTTCCAAGCCAGCCTGAAAAGCTGCCCACGAACAGCCCCATGGAGATGTCAGCAGGTGTCAAGTACCTTTGTCACTTGGCCTGGGCAAGTGGATTGTTAGCTTTTCAACCATCCTACAACTGAAAGGAGATTGGAATATTCTTTCCTCTCTAATGAAATATGAAGTTATAGTACTGCAATCAACAGGCCTAAAACCCTATAAAATAAAGGTATAATATAACTCAACTCTTCCTTTTTGTTTTGTTTTGCTTTTAGTTTTTTGAGACAGGGTTTCACTATGTAAGTTTAGGCTGGTCTCAAACTCACGGCAATTCTCCTGCCTCAGCCTCCTGAGTGTTGGGATTACAGGTGTGCACCACTATGCCCGGGCTCTTTCTCAGTTCTAAACTCTGTGTTTCCAGTGCTTGAAGGGGCAAGATTTTAATTTTGTGTGTGTGTGCCTGTGTGTGTGTGTGTGTGTGTGTGTGTGTGGTGTTGGGGGAGTGTGTGGATGAAAACATGAGAGAACAAAATAGCTATGATATTTTGAGTGTGTGCTTAGATCTGCCAAAAATGTCCCTATATGGTAAATATTTCATGAGAGGCTGGGGCCACATTCAAGGTGCAGGCTTCAGAATCAGAAGAGTTAACAAAAACTAAAACCAGAAGTTCCATTTGACCCAGCTATTCCTCTTCTTGGTATCTTCTGGAAAAGCATCATACTGCAGAGATATATCCACACCCGTGTTTATAGCAGGACAGTTTGTAATAGCTAAATCTTGGAAACAGCCCAATTGCCCATCAACTGATGAGTTGATAAAGAAGATGTAGTTTTTTAATACAATGGAGTACTACTCTGCCATAAAGAAGGATGAGCTTCAGACATTTATAGCTAAACGGATGCACCTTGAGACCATACTCTGAAGTGAAATAAATCAGACACACATGTTTAAATACCACATTCTCTGGTGTGAGAAACCAAAAGTGGGAATAAGAACTAAAATGTATAATAGATACTGGGATATGGGATGAAAATGTTTAAATGGGAAGGGGAACAAGAGAGGAGGGAGGGAGAAAAGAAGGAAGGGCCAAGAAAAAAGTGAAAATAGAAGGAAAAAAATGAAAACAAAGCTTCTGTACATAGGGAGGGGAGGGGGCTTGTGGGGGACAGGAAAAAAGGGGCAGGAGGTACCACAGACAGGTGCAAATTCCCTATGATGAGTGTTACCATTATGTATGCCTAAAATGTACCAATAAATGTTGTGCTATAAAAAAAAAAAAAAGAATCAGAAGAGTTAAAACCCCAGCCTTTCCACGGTCATGTTTTTTATATTCACAGGGCCTCAGTTTCTTCATCTATAATATGGGGGAATTGTGAAAATTTAGCAAATAGTGTACATAAAGAACAAATATATTCTCTATCCCACTCTAAATTCAAAGTAGACTTGAGCGATCTGTAATAATATATATATATATATTGTTTTCGTACCAGGGATTGAACTCAGGACCTTGTGCGGCAGGCGCGATGCCACTGAGCTAAATCCCCGGCCCTTTTTTGTTTTACTTTTTTTTGTAATAATATTTTTTGTTTTGAGGTCTCACTATGTTACCCAGGTTAGCTTTGAACTCCTGGGCCCAAGCAATCTTCCTGCCTCAGTCTCCCGAGTAGCTGGGACTACAGGCACATGCTACCACACACAGCATTAACATTTGATCGATTCCTTACTATGTCAGGCATCAGGTTGAACTTTTTCCATAGATTATCCTTCCAAAGGGGAATTAGTGCTTGAATGAACCCACGTCCTCTAGCTCCAGAGCCTGCCTTGTGCTCTAGTTTAGGACAGGAGCCACATATTGGCTTCAGACAAAAGGATTTATGCAGGACTGCCTCTGTAGCAGCAGCTGCCTGTGAGGGCCCGGTGGGAGGGTCTTGGGTGACATGGCTGGAGTTTGGGTCAATTGTGGAGAGAAGGCCACAAAACCCTTCCTTCTGCCATTCTGCATAATCAGTACCACTGACTTTTTGCAACCTGGTTCAGTTTCTCCATTAGACTGTGCACATAACAGATGTCCCCCCCAAATGCTTGCTGAATAAAGGCAAATAACACTGATCATGAATAGTATATTTATCTTATGTATGAAACATTTTATGCTGAGGTTTCATTCCCTTACACTAACATGTTAAACAAATTCCCCCTCCCCCTATAGTAGAGATTGAACTCTATCACCATTATACCCATAACCCTTTATTTATTTATTTATTTTTTTGGTACCAGAGATTGAACTGGGGTCCACATTTTGAAACAGGGTTTAAATCACCCAGGCTGGCCTTGAACTTGTGAACCTCCTGTTTTAACCTCTCAAGTAGCTACAATTACAGGTTTGTGTCACCATGCCTAACTAAAGATTTTCTTTTTCCAGGTACTGGGGATTGAACTCAGCCTTCCCACTGAGGTACATCTCCAGCTCTTTTTCAATTGTTGAGACAAGGTCCCGCTAAATTACACAGGTTGGGTTTGGGCTTGAACTTTTTTCCTGCCTCAGCCTCCTAGAGAGCTGGGATTACAGGCGTGTGCTACCATGCCCAACTTAAACAGATCAAGCATTTATTTGGCACCTATTAATGGAAGTACTAAGGAAACCTATGGAATGAGTTAAAGAGTATTAAGGAACAAATCCAAGCTTATATTCAGCTATGGAACATACATTACTTTTCAAGTAGCACTGATCTTCGTAGCTGTTTTATGTTAATTTTCTAATTTGCATTCCCTCAAGCTTTACTTATTATTGAGCAGTCAAGGTGGACAGACTGGAAAAGTGTCTTGTGAAGCCACAGCAGAATTCACAAGGCTGGAGGAGAGAGGCTGGAACTTAGAACACGGTCCAGGGGGAGAACCAGGGGGTGAAGTCAGATGGGGCTTCCTGACCCTGACACTAATAATGCAAGCTTGCAAAACCTCAATTTCATCAACTACAAAATGAGGACAATCAGCATTTGTCACTGCTTTCCCACAGGATGGCCAGGAGTCCTGGGACGATGTGGCAGCACCTCATTTCAGGGTCCCTGCTCAAGGTCATAAAAACAAAGAACCAACAACGCAGGGCCTGGCACCAGCCCAGGCCCTCCGTGAACATTCCCGTGCCCTCCTTTTCTCCCAGCCTGATCTTCTAGACAGCCACAGCCACAGCCACCACAGGGGACGAGAGCCTGAAAGATCGAGGGCCCAAGGATTGCTGGCTTGAGACTGGTTGTCTCCTGCACATGTTATTTTTTTCTCCTGCCACTGTCTGTAAAAGGCAAACAAGAATGAAACAACGACAGGCACATCCACTGAAGCAAAACAGGTCATAGGAAGACAATACACTCAATGACAAATAAAAGTCAACAGGGTAGGTAAAAATGCGTGGGAACTAGGGAAGGTGTTTTCTTGTTTATAAACAGGCTTTTAAAATATTATCACCATCGTAAATAGACACACGCTTGGTGTTTTAGTATCTTTCTGTGACATTTAGGCTTCTTGTACAAGGGAGACCACCATAAGATACGGACACACACCCTTAAATGTACAGCCTTCATGAATGAAGGCACCACACACAAAACTGCACTTACAGTGACTGGGCCTTCAAGACTGGAGTTAAGGCAACTGGGAGAACAAAAAACAGTTGATCTCTTAGGCTGACAGAATTGCCTCACCCAGTGCCTGAAATCTAATACTTGTTTAGTAAATATTTGTTGAATGAGAAGACTTGACCTTTATTTTCCAAATATTATAACCGTGAATATCTATCACCCTTCCTTAGCCAACCATTCAGAGAGGATTCTACTTCTTGACATAATTTTGGTGCTTTACTTTTTCCCCCTTTTACTTAATGCAATCCAAAGAAAATGAGGTTGTCAAAAAACTTAAACACAGTCCAAGAAAACTGGTTAAAGGTTATGCATGCATTTTTAGATAGCCAAAGTCAGAAGAAACATTTGCTGATAAGCAGGAGACCTGCCTTATATTCATTAACTGGCTGATTGTCCTTAGGAAAAATAACCTCTTAAGGTGTCAGTTGGCAGATCTGTGATGGGGCTTAGACAGACAACCTCCTGTGGGCCTTTCCGTACTGGAAATGTTAAATGTCAAGATTAAACACACTGGGTCAATGAAGACAAATGAGCTCTCCACGGAGTTAATATTTGAAAACTTTATTTTCTCAAATGAGCACCAACACAGATTGGAAATATGACAGAAACAATGCACTTTTCTCTACGGTAATACTGAATCACTATGTACAAATACAGGAAAAGGTGAAGACAAATTATTCAAAAACAATTACCTTTGTTACTGAAGCAAAATGACCTGAAAAATGCCACCAAAAAAACCAAAAACAAACAAAAGAACAAACCCAAACCCAACAAATACAGTTTGTAAACACAAGCATAAATAGACAGATTCTATATTATAAGACAGTCTCTGCAGGTTGGGAAAAAGGAATCAACTCCCACTTTCTCCAAAAGGTTATATAAAACATGGGCAAGAAGACCTGGGTAATAAGAGAATAGCTTGTTTCTTCTCGGCTTTCTCTTACTGCCAGTAGATTTCATGACTGTGTTTTAATTTTTTAAAAAATCAATCATTTATTTCCTGTATCCATAGGACTAGCATTTCTCATTTTAGGCAGATTCTTTTAAAATACATAAATTGATTGTGTTCAAGATTTGATTTCCCAGCCTCTTCCTGAACCTGAGGCAATCTGACCTTAAAAAATAAAAAAAGCTGTTTACCTACAAGGTATGTGTATTATGTTATTAATGCTCTTTATCCCAGACCAGTTAATGTTCAACATCATTGGTTTCTAAAACAACTGGAGCCCTGGGATACATGATTAATACACTCACATCTCATTCAGAAGCACAGATTTGACTCTGCTTGATCTTCAGAGGTTTCCTTTACAATCTGTAAAAGTTGAGCACTCAAAGAAAGAAAAAAGAACAAACTGGCAACAGCTCCGTGCTCAGGAAAACAAAAGCCTCGTGGCTTGTGCTGTTGGTCCACTCAGAAACAAAAACAACCAGAGAGAAAGAAGAAAAACCTTAACGCGCCCAAGGTGTAAACTGTAGGTAGTGTCCCCAGTAGAAAATAAAGCAGGAGGCACAATCCAAAGTGCTTTCACTCATGCGCACACACGCACGCAGGCATGCGCGCACACACCCACACTTAAAAACAAGATTCTAATTTGTTGGAACTTCTTCCAACAAGAGCAATTACCCTAAGTCGTTACTATTAAATTTACTTGGTTTTATTTACGTTCTTTTCTAGCCAATACTACTGCCAGAAAATATTTCAGTTCTCAACTGGAAATTTACTGCAGAGTCTGTTCCACTGGGTGGGGGGGAGATACAGATAGGGATTGCTTTAAAGCCTTGATTCAGATTAAAGTGACAGAGATCTTAAAAAAACCGAAAGTATATTGGTGATTACTGTTTCCCTTACAATACACTTCAAGAAATGCAGAGGAAATCATAGAATTTAAAATGAAAATAAAAAGTGCTCTCAGGGGATCTGAGAAAACAGCACCAAATATATTATTTAAAAAATTAAATATTATATACAAAAGTATATTTCACAAGCAACTGTTTTATATATATCTATCTACTTGAAAATCTTATTATAAAGGGGACACCTCTTTCGCACACATTGATCCGCCAGTAGACGTGCTGTGTCCTATCTACACGATCTTACGGTCATAGGTGCTGGGGCCGCACTCAGTCAGGCCCAGCTGAGAATGTGTGGGCATCAAGTTTGCCTGTGTTTGATTCACGTCAAATCAACCCATCAGCAGCCTGAGTCTACTATGTGGGGCAGGGGGGAGGGGGGCTGGTGGGTGTCCTCCAGGGTAGCCAAGGCCATGGGACCTAGGGTGACACAAGGGAGATGGAACTCAAGTCTGCCAGCCGGGCTTCAGCTCAAAGCGAAGGCATTGCTGGCTGAGGTATAGAGCTTCATGCCTTCCCTTTCTCACTTCTCCCTTCCCCTTCCCTGCTCCTGCACCCTCGCCCTCGTGTAAGCAACAGACTCGATTCCCTGAACCCATGGGGAGGGGGGTGAATGAATGAGGTCTTTGGTTATGCTCTGAGTCAATAATTTGGTGAGGAAATTAAAAAGAATAAACCGACAGAGGCCTTGCATTGATGTATCTCCATTGCTCAGATGCGGCCTCTCCAATACTGCTAAATGTTAGAACGACAAGCCATGAATGGAGTTAACAGTGTAAGAAGCACTTTGGGTTTCACTGACACAAAGGGAAGCCTAATGAGTTTTGTTTTTCTTTTTTTCTCTCTCATAGCTATGGAAAACCAACACTCATTGCCTTGCACCAAGTATGGTGCCATACACCCTTTGGATGCTCAGTGGACAGTAACTGAAACAACCAGAACGGGGGTCTGGCTGGGGCCTGCTCTGACCCAGGCCCCATCTCTAAGGAAGGACAGTGGCACACTGGTCTCTTTCTCTGCCCCCTGACAATCTGGGGCACCCATGTCCAGTTTCTATGTCACCACATCCCAACTGTAGTTTTAGAGACAAAACATCTACCTAGATTGGGCTCCCTCCCCTTTTTTCTAATGAAGTGGACTCTTAACAGCCAGGACACTCTCTAGGCAAAAGACCTAATCAAATCCATAAATGAAGGCCACTTCCTTTAAGAGGGACAAAGAGGGGAAATCCATGATTTCTGTGCTGGAGAGCCAATTTACGAATGTGAAAGTTAAAAAATGTTTATTGAGAACTTGGGCCTGGAAGCCAGAGGACAATGTCTTTGGAAGTGGAATTACTTCTGAACCTTCCAGTCTGTCTTGTAATAAAGTAGGGAGAACAACTTAATCTCCAGGGCTACTAAAGCACTGGGAAGGGCAGGAAGTCAATTTCTAGGAACGCTTTGTTTTGGGGAGGAGAGGCAGTCCGCTGCTGGACATGGGTCATCCTGCTTTCTGCCATCCTGCCATCTACTACTGGCAGGGCAGGCCATGCCAGTGTCCAGTCTCCCATTCTGCAGTCAGCACATGGACACAAAGAGGCATTTCCATCATAGACTCACTCCCTACGGGAATTCGGTTTTGTTACAGGTGTGATTCTGAAAATGTCCTGGATTGGCTGCTTTAATCTTGGTTAATTGATTTTTACAGATTCTTAGCTTCATGAACGCACTCTTTTTTTTTTCCTTTTGAGACCTTTAAAGCTGCATTTTCCTATAGGATCAGCCTACTTGCAGAATGAGACGCTAAGAATTACCCAATACACACATATCTTAACGTTTTCCGTCTATGAAATGAAATTAACTCAGTGAAATGAGTTTTGGTCATGCACCGTATATTGGCTGAATTGCCGTAGAACAGACTTCACAGTGTTGATTAAATGTAACAAACTCTTTCTCTCAAGCCTTACAGGGATTTGTTCTCCACTTCCTTAACACAATGAAGCTTGGATGGGAAGTAGGGGCAGAGGATAACACTGGAATCTGTAACCCCCCCACTACTGGACCGAAAGAATAGATCTGTTGCTATATAAGACTTTCAGATCCAGAACAACTAGGGCCATGAGGAATCCACCACCCAGGTTATCACTAGGCTCCAAGCCTTGGGTCTGTTTTTCCATGGTCTACAATGATGGAACTGGACAAAAGCAGCTGAAGCACAATGATCAAAGGATAGCTGACCCCACTGATAACCAAAGAAGAAATATGCACTAATCTGGTCTATTCCCCCCATGGTTCCTCCCAATCCCTCCCCCTGCCCTATCACTCTTATTAAGGGTCAGGAAAAGAAAGGTGGACATTCAGAATTACTAACTGGTTCTATGCCTTGGTGTTCTGGCTCAGTATCTGAGCCATTCTTCAGGAGCTCCCAAGCTGCAACACTCCCTTATGCCCTGCTCTCCTCAATTTCTGATTTTACTTGGTTGATGGTCAAAGCCTTTGGGACATATCCATCGTGCGCTCATTGCAAATGACAGCTCCCTCTCCCCTCATCTTCAGTGGCTAAGGAGGCAAAGAAGATGATTACCCAGAGGCTGTGTGAGGCATCAGAGTCATCAAAACCCACCAGGGCTTCACCTACCTCACTTCCTGCTACCCAGAGTTTCCCTTACTCACCCAGAGAGAACCAGGCCCTTTGCCCCATCAGCTACCATTAGGGCCCCTTCTGTGCTCATCTGCTGTCCTGGCACATCGGGTGTCAGGAAGAGAGGCTTCTGATCAGAGAGAATGCAGTCATGAGGTATTTTTTTTCTCTTTGTCCTTTTAGACAAGTCGAATATTTCAAGCCTAAGTTACCAGGGTTCCAGGAGCAGTGCAGTTCTGTTCCTACTTCCACCCTCCCGCCCCTGCCCACCCCCAGGACCTCAGGGATCCCCTTTTCCTTCTTCCTCACGCCCACATGCCACTGCTCTCCTGACAAGAGGCCATCAGGCAGCTCTTGCAGGGCCCTGGGGCTCTTTGCGAGGTGGGCTGCTGCTGGGTGGTCAAGGATCTGTTCCTTTAGTTGTTTTGTTTTCAGCAAACACGAGAACAGAGAGAGAAGCCAGGATCAACTCACAAACAGAAACAAAGCAAAGAGACAGAGACAGCAATTTAGAGGCCAGTCACCAGAAAGATGGTGTCAGGGTGGGAGGATGCCCCAGATGGCAAGGCCCCCAAATGGATGGAACCAAGTGTTCAGTCACTCTCTCACGCTTGGGTAGAATGTTCAGTTGGATGGCATTCACGTGGACACTGGGTTGGGTGGCTGCTGCCTGCTCAGTCCCAGCCATTGTCCTTGATCATGTGTGCTAGTTCAATGATGTATTTGCCTTCTTTATATTTCTGGCTGCTTTCAAAAGCATGTTCCTAAAAATAAGAGAAAACAGACTGAGTGACCAGAGACAAACAGGTGACTTCGGTGCCACAGAAATGGAGGTGTTGCTGGTGACAGGCATCGAGACACGCAGGTCTGGTCTGAGCATCACCAAGAGACTCCTACCACTCAACCACTCCGTGTCCCAGCACCTCACTGTGAACCGGGGCAACAACAGGGTGGCATCAATACTACAGCAGAACTTCTTCAGGATCTTTGCTCCGATGTCATCATTCCAGTAAGGTCTTTCCCAACTACTGTACTTAAAACCCGAAGTTTCACCTCAGCACTTCTTTTCCTCCCCCTGCCCCAGCTTTATTTTTACCCACAGCACTTGCCACTTGCCAACACACAGTTTGTGTTACTAGTTTACTGTCTTCTGTAACGGTAACTTATGAGGAATGATCAAAATACACAGTGAATGTATGAATTTTTTTAAATGTCATAGGAAAAAACACATTGCCATCAACCCCCTCAAAACACTCTCCTTTGTTTCAACCACACTTATCCCATTGTTCTTGCCACTTTCTGAAGCAGTTCTAAAAATCTTCTTTCATGCCTGTCTTTATGAGGCACAATCAAAACTACAGTGAATGCTGCTGCAAAGTGACTGTTTTCCTATTAAGTAAAAGAAAAAAGAAAACCCAACCGCTCCTGAGCCACACTTCACTTATAGAATGCTGGCACTGGACTCCAGCAAAAAGAGCACCAGACCTTGAGTCCACAGAAGCACCCTGCTGATCTCATTTCTACTGCTTCATTTAACCACCTTATTTCTACTTAATGACAAAATTGGGCTACTCAGGATTATTTTGAGATTCAAAATAGTTTATCTACTTCACAGGATTATTCCGATGGTCAGAAGAAATAATGAAAGAATGGCACACTGGATCTGGCACACAGAGCAATAACCATCTGAGGAGTTTTCAATATTCAGGGAGCTGGACGGGACTCTCATCTGGTGCACATCACCTGACAGCCTTTCTTTCCCCCTGGCATCATGACTGTGAATGCCTTCAGAGCAGGGACCAGGTCCCATTCACTTTTTTCTTCTTTTTCTTTTAGTGTTTTTTTTTTTGAGACAGGGTCTTGCTATGTAGTCCAGGGTGGTCTTGAACTCATTATGTAGCCCAGGCTGGCCTCGAACTTGTAGCAATTCTCCTGCCTCAGCCTCCTGAGTGCTGGCTTGCTCTCTCCCTCTCTCCCTTTCTTTCTCTCTCTCTCTCTCCCTCCCTCCTTTTTTTTTTTTTTGTTACTGGGGATCGAACTCAGGTCCTTGTGCTTGGGAGGCAGGCAGCGGAACCACTGAGCTAAATCCCCAGCATGAGTGAATCACTTTACCTGAACCTCAAGCAAGGAGCAAAACCAAGCAACTCAGGTTATCTTTCATTACTGTAACCCAACACATCCTCGATGAACAAGACAGCCAAGAGGCTAGTAACACAGGAGGGGGCAGAAGATTTCTTGATAATCTAAATCAGAACTGTGCCCCCCACCACCCATCAGCCAGGATGGCCTGTAACTGCACAGAGGGGTTGTGCCAAAGTCCAGTTTCTCCCACAGGAACAGCCACGCCAACCACAGGGAGCAGGGGCTAGCCATCCTCCAACAAGAAACACACTATTGAGGTTCTTCTTTCTTTCTAGCGCTCAACACTCCCACGGAGATGAGAAACAGAATCTGCAGGTTGCACCGCCAAGCACGACCACAGCTTCCACCTGTGACAGGTTTTGATTTTGTAATGACTTGTATATTTTCAAATTTTATTTACATGGAATCATACTTTTGTGCCTGGTACCTATTGCTCATATTATTTTACATATCCCCCAATAACTTTATTTTTCCTGAGCCATACTGGACCCACGGCAAAACTGAGCAGAATCTACCAAGGTTTCTGGTGCATCTCTACCTAGACCTCCCACATTCAGAATCTCACACCAGTGTGGTCCGTTAGTGACAGCCAAGGAACCTACTTTGACACACTTGTATTGCCCAGAAGTTTTGACTGCTCCCTCGCTCCATCTTCTTCCTAAGCCAGGGCAGACAGTGTACCCCAAGACAAGATGGGGAATTTGAGACATTTTACATAAAAAAATTGTTGTCTTAGAAACAGAAATATAAGTCTTTCAATATCCACAACAGTATTAAGAAAAGAAGTCGTGTACCATGCATGTGTGTACATATGCAGGCTGCAAAAGTTTTGCCAATGACAATGAAACAATTTATGTTTATTTTTATTGAATATATATCTATGAGGGCCAGGAATATAGCTTAGTGGCACCACCACGCCTGCCTGGCAAGTGCAAGGTCCTGAGTTCGATTCTTGGTACTGGAAAAAAAAAGAAAAAAAGAAAAAAATATATACTCTATGCCAAGTGATGAACTAAGGATTTTACAGGCCTATCCTATTTAACACCCAAAAACCTTAAGTATTGGGAAATTGACCATAAGAAGGGGCCCCCAAACAGGTGGCCAAGCAAGTGATGGAACCCAAATTTCATCTTGACTCTAGCTGCATAAACCTCTAGTCAGGCAGGGTGTGATGGATGGTGCATGCCTGCAATCCCAGAACTTGGCAAGCTGAGGAGGACTGCCGGAGTTTGAGGCCAGCCTGGGCTGCACAGTGAGTTCAAGGCCAGCCTGAATTACACATTGAGACCCTGTCTCATAAGAAAAAACAAACCAAAAATTAAAAAATAAACCTCCAGCCACATGGACTGTGGAGGCTATGTGTATGGTTGTGTGGTGAACCCAATGCATGTTAGAATGCTCAGTATCCAGTGTGGTGTTTTGTTTTGTTTTGTTTAGATAGGGTTTTACCATGTAGTTTAAGCTGTTCTTGAACTCACCATGTAGCCCAACCTGCCTCAAACTCTCAGTGATCCTCCTGGCTCAGCCTCCCAATGCTGGGATTACAGGCATGAACCACCATGCCCAGTCAAGTCGCCAGTGTTTTAAAAGTAGCAGATCCCTGCCTTTTTCTCTTTCTCACCCTGGCAAAGGATTGCTTACTCTTCCTAGGTCCCAAGGGGACCTTAACATTTTTTACTGAGTTAAACAATGAAAGATATCCATTTGGGAGGGTCCAGCCACAACAATACCTCCCAGTGTACATTTAAGATAGTATCTGATGATGCCTACCTAGCACATGGCCTAGGACCCAGGTGGTTTTCTAGGAACATTTATTCCAGCATGAGAGTCGGACTACTAACCAGAGTCCCATCCTGCTTTGGTAACATCTAGGTAACCTTGGGCATACTATTAATCTTCTTCAGCCTCAGTATTTTTGCCCATAAATAGGGATGAAAATAGCACCTAATCCCTAGGGATGCTGTGAAGAGCGAACAGGATCATGCATGTCTGGCACACAGTAAGGTTTCAGGAAATGTTCTATGCTGTTACTGTTAAGTCTAGAGTGGGGTGTGTTTGTGTGTGTGCATGCGTCTTAGCGACAGAGATAAACCTGGCAGACGGATGGCTATGCCAGGTCGTGTTCTTTGAACATGACTTCCTGTCCTGGTCAAAGACAACCCAACAAGGCCATGGGAAGCCAGTTGCAGAAAGTATTTTTTGAGGATGAGGCCTTCCACTCTTCCCTTTATAGCCTTCTCCCACCAGATGCCTTGGTACTTACATATTTCCATCCCAGAGTGGTTTTGCAGTTTTCACAGTAAATGTCTGCGACTGCATGTAGTCCTGTTAACAATACTCGCTCTTCTGCAGGCCCACAGCCCACATTAACTCTATGCCAAAAGACAGAAGGAGAGAGAGTAGTTAGTCACAGGTACCAACATCATTAGTTGTTCAAAATGAGCGGCCAGAAAGCTAAGGCTGCATAAGGATTTCCCGGGGGAAACCAACACTGAGAAGAATCTGGCCAAAAACTGAAACCAATAATATCCCTGAAAAGGGAGCCATATGGAAACATCTCAGTTGGAATGAATTTCAGATCTGCAAGGCTGAATTCAATGGGTCTATTAAAATAGTCCTCCATTGAGACTTTGCTCAGGATTTTTCTAATAAATACTCTTCATCTTGTGACATAAGGGGACAAAATGACAACTACACTGTGCAGTCCACAGCCAAAAATTTCAAACATGATGGCACAGTCTTGTCATCACAAGGATGGGTGAGGCCTGAATATTAAATATGCCATGCTCTTCACAGAGGACCTATTTGAGGGTGAACGGCTAGATTTTCATTTTTACAGTTCATCAGGCTTACGTGAGCTTTGCCTTTCTTTCCAGGAATTATAAGTCACATGCCCAGTGATGACCATCAGGGCTGCCCACACCATGTCTGCAGTAGGAGACAGAGGCTCTTCCCTAGCTGAGCCCTCCCTCCATCCTTGGGTTCTTCAGTGGTTCTTGGGGAAGATTTTTTTGGGGGGGGTACCGGGGATCCAACTCGGGCCCTTGCGCTTGCGCAGCAGGTGGCGAAACCACTGAGCTAAATCCCCGGCCTCAGGGAGAAGATCTTTTGCTCACTCTCATTCTCTTCCCCAATGACAAATCTCTGATCTGGTTATAGGACGTCCTTAGAAGCTTCCTCACTGTGGGACTACAGTGCCTACTGAGGACAGTGTTGTGAATGCATTATTTTTAGCCAGAGATGCTGCTAAAAAATTTTCCCCAAAGGTAACCAACTACCTATTGTAGAGTCTATTTTTATTATGGCAGAGCCTGCCAGGAAGGGTTCATTGTTGAATGTCTGACAGCTGTTTTTCCCCCATCCCTCTAAATTTGCACAAAACAACAGATACACCAATTCAGAGACACTCACACTGAATTAAAGAGATATGCTCGTCCTTGACTTCCTTGGAACGACTGAAATGCAAGAAAACAAATCGATAGTTAGATATCCATTCCACCTACCCATATGGGAAACCAACCCCAATCTTAGCAAGCATGACCTTCCAGGACTGCAAAGCAGAAGGGAGCACTAAGCCAGCTAATAGTCTAGCTGGCAGATGGCATGGGGTGGGGTGGGGGAGGCAGAAGAGAGAGCTAAAGAGCTCAAACCAGCCCACACTTGGACTATTTTCATTAGCTCAGGTGAGAAAATGAGAGAAAAAAACCCAAACTCTGCTGCCATTAAAAACTTCTTCCCTGGGCCAGGGATTTAGCTCAGTGGTTTCGCCGCCTGCTGCACAAGCGCAAGGACCCGAGTTCAATCCCCCGTACAAAAAAAAAAAAAAACTTCTTCCCTCCTGACATTGCCTGATAGAATTAATCCACCCGAGAGAATTAATCCACATTGGCTTTTCTAGTCCCAGCTCACTATAACCATGTGTGCTGGCCACCACATTCGCACACCACCTGGGGCATGGGAACCCAGGACGAGCACTTCTGCTTGCTCTGTTGGCCCAGTCCTCCTGAAAACAGCAAAGAATCCCCAGCATAAGAGGAAACTATGACACCATGCTTGTCATTCCTCTTGCCTTCTGGGAGGTCTTCACTGCCATGACAGTTTCGATCTCCTGAGTGGGAAGCTCCCTGTCTGAAAGTAAGCAACTTGATCTCAAGATCACAGAAATGCTCACTAGGCAGAAATCCCATTTTTACCTCCAGCCTAAATATACACATCTTTCTTCCAGCCAGAGAGTGGCAGGGAGCAGCGTAAACAGGATCCTGAGGTTGCCATGCAATCTGGCATCTACTTCCATTAGTACAAGCCCTGTCCATGCTTCCCTCCTCTGGTTACACCGAGATGTCTGGCTGACATGAGTCAGCCGTGTTCTGCACTGCTGCCTGCATTTTTAATGTGGAATGACAATCGTATCCAGAATTTAACATCCTAGTCTTCTCTGAAAACCACCCTAGAAACAACTCAGGAGGGACTCAAGAAATCTGGGGGTGACTGGCTAGCAGACAGTTAAAGGGCAAGAGCACCAGACAGGCCAACATCAGAAGTGCAAGACTTCAGGGTTTGGTGCCACCAGCCAGAGAAAGGCAAAATTCTTTACCTGTGGAAAAGCTGCCTCAAGAGCAGCTTAACCATTGGTTGCCTCCAATATTCAGATGCACCGGATGTCCTCAGTCCCAGGTGCAGCTGCAAGCAGCAGATGTTTCCCAGCTGCCACCCAGATCTAAACCAACTCTCTCCTCTTTTGGGTCTTGAAACAGCCCTGGAGAAACACAGGACCTCCCAGGCACAACTAAGCAGCTCTGGGTGTCACAGGCTCCAAGACAGCTGAGGTCCACCATGCCAAGTGTTTCCAGAAGTTCGTGTCCCAGTGACAGACCTACACTTGGAAACACTGCTCAGCCTTCGGACACAAAGACACCCCAGGACTTTGAGGGCAGCAAAAGGTTGAAGATCTGGCTCTGGCCAACTCTCCACGCTCTTCTTCTCTTCCTACTTTCCCATGTGTCCTTTGCTCTAGTCAAGACAAGCCATGTGTGGTGGTTGCACGTCCCCAACTTGGTCCATGCTCTTCCCTGTGGTCCATGTGATCAACTCTGAGCCTTCCTTCTGTTCCTCTCTTTCTCAAGGCTTTCCCTGACCTCCTTGCAGAGGAACCACTGCCACCCACACTCTGGACTCCTCCTGTTCCTGTGTCGTCCTTTCCCTTTAGCACTTAACATACTGAATGTCAATCATCTGTTCACCTGACTCCCTCCCTGAAGGCACAGGCCATATCTTTGATCTCTGAACCCCCAGCATATTGCATGTGAATCTGGTGCACACAGGTATGAGTTAAATATTTACTCCACCAGTGAAGTGGTGACGCACACCTCTATTTTTTTTTCTTTAAACAACTTTATTGAGGTATAATTGACACACAATAAACTGTACATATCTGAAACTTCCTACTGGATGAATTCTGACATCTGCTTATGCCTGTGAGATTATGGATTAACCACCACACCCAAACATTTCTGCACGCCTCTCTGAATCCAGCCTTCCCTCCCCTCTGTATGCCCTTCTCATCTGTGGACCCACAGGCAACCACTGCCTTCTGTCACCCGTTTTCATATTCTAGAACTTTTATAAATAAAATTATACAGTTTATAATTTTTTTGTCTAGCTTCTTTCACTCGGCATAATTCTTTTATGATTCATCCATGTTCTATAAATCATTAGGTCAGTCCTTTTTTATTGCTGAGTAGCTTTCCATTCTTCAGATATACCATGGTTTATTTTTAGTTTGACTTTAATAAGGAACTAGTTGACTGCCAAGTCCCCTTCTAGCTCCAGAATTATATTCCCTTATGATTCCATGGTCCTAATTATGTGTTACCAGGTGTGTCACCCTTCAAGAAATATTTGCCAAGAGCTTCAAGCTCAGAACATGGAAGAAAGTGGCCATGTGAAAACAAATCCTAGAAAAATAGCTAGAAAATAACATGAAAATAGCATCACCACGTACGACAGGAAAAGGGCTTGACAATGGATTTATGTCTTTATTTGGGGGGAAGGGGGTTGAGACAGGGTCTCACTCTGTAATCTAGGCTGGCTTGCAACTCACTATGGCCTCAAACTAGGCTGGCCTCAAACTCACAGCAATCCTCCTGCCTCAGCCTCACAAGTGCTGGAATTACAGGAGTGCACCACCATGCCTGATTCACACTTTCTTACACACTCATTGATCACCTGCTATCTGTTAGACATGACTAGGAATATGGGGAGAGCCAACACTATAAGACTTTCCAGGGCAGCAGTATCCCCAGGTTTGCAAGACAACCCTCCAGGGTAGGGAGAAAAATACTAGAAAATGTATCCATTTTCATCTGAAAAATAAGTTTCACTGAGCTTTTAATGGACATGAAAAACCAAATAAGCACTAATTCAATTGTAGTGGGGGACCTCAATACCCCACTATCACAAATAGACAGACCATCTAGAAAAAATATTAACAACAAAATTCTAGAACTGAACCAAGTTATGGAACAAATGGACTTGATAGATGTTTACAGAGTGTTCCACCCCACAAAATCAGAATATACATCAGCTGCACATGGGTCATTCTCCAAAATAGATCATATGCTAGCTCATAGGACATGTCTAAGTAAATGTAAAAGAAGTGAAATTACCCCCTGTATATTACCACAACATAGTGCAATAAAATTGGAGGTCAATAACATAAGAAATTGCAAAACTCCCACAAACACATGGAAATTGAATAACACCCTCCTGGAAAACCAATGGGTCACAGAGGAAATTAAAGAAGAAATTAGACAGTTTCTACAAGCAAATGATAATGCCAGTACAACATACAGGAATCTATGGGACACAATGAAAGCAGTTCTAAGCAGGAAATTCATAGCAGTGAATGCTCATATTAGGAAAACAGAGAGAACTCAAATAAATAACCTAATGCAGAACCTCAAGCTCCTAGAAAAAGGAGAGCATAACAAACCCAAAGCTCGTACAAAAGAGGAAATTATAAATATCAGAGCAGAAATCAATGCAATGGAGACTAAGAGAGCGATACAAAACATCAATGAATCAAAGAGTTGGTTTTCTGAAAGAATAAATAAAATTGATAAACCTTTAGCCTACCTTATCAAAAAAAAGAAAGAAAAGGTTCAAATCCATGCAATTAAGAATGAACTAAGATACAGAGCCAGGTGTAAACATACACACAAGGCAAGGGTGTTTTTTTTGTTTTTTTGGTACCAGGGATCCAACTTGGGTCCTTGTGCCTGCACAGCAGGCAACGAAACCACTGAGCTAAATCCCCGGCCCTAAACTGTCATTATTTGCTGACAATATGATACTTTACATAGAAGACCCAAAAACTCCACCAAAAGACTTCTAGACTTAATTGACAGATTCAGGGGCTGGGGATTTAGCTCAGTGGTTCTGGTGCCTGCCTTGCAAGCGCAAGGTTCTGAGTTTGATTCCCGGTACCAAAAAAAAAAATTTAATTGACAGATTCAGTAGAGTAGCTGGATATAAGGTCAACACTCAAAAAACAATAGCCTTCTTAAACACAAATAGCAGACTCACTGAGAGAAATTAGGGAAACAATTCCTTTTACAATAGCAACCAAAAAAATGAAACATCTAGGAATCAACCTAACAAAGGAAGCAAAAGACCTCTACACTGAAAACTACACCACTCTAAAAAAGGAGATCGAGGAGGATATAAGAAAATGGAAAGGAAAAAAAAAAAAGAAAGAAAAAGAAAATGGAAAGACATCCCTTGTTTCTGGGTAGGAAGAACCAATATAGTGAAAATGGCCATATTTCCAAAACTACTATATAGATTTAATGCAATGCTGATTGAAATTCCAACAATATACTTCACAGAACTAG